TAATTATGCAACATTATTATATAATTTCGATAATGACGTTACGGTAAGGTTTAAATTATTTTTTTTTAAAAAAAAAATTTTATATTATAAAAGAAATTAATTATTGATCCAATTTTTCGCGACATTTTTTTAAAAAATTTCTCCATTTATTTCATGCAAATTTGTAAAATTATACTTTTTTTTGTTAGGTCCTTACGAAATCATTCCATCAAATTTTCATTTTTATTGTGTAACTTTAACAAATTTTTCCTTCGAAGTTTTTGTGAGATTTTTATAAATTGCAATAATAAAATTAATCGCAATTCGGTTTTTCGGTTTTATTAAAACCGAATGCCCGGTTGAATCAGTTTTATTTTAAATTCGGTTTAAATTCGGGTCTCAAATTAAAAAAGTGGTTAAACCGGTTTGTGAAAATAAAACCCTGTTCCAACCTCTAATCAAAATAAATCATAATAGTGGAAATTGGGACCATGAAAGCAACTGCCCTCGGTAATTTATAGCTTTTTGTTCTTTTGCTTTATTATCATTTTTATAAATTCTCAATAATTTCAACTTACCGCTGTTTTCATAAGATCCGGGACATAATAAAGTTTGAATCCCGACCACCGGACTGCCGGTCCGGTTTAAAGACATTTGTTTTGAAAAATAGCTTATATATAACTAACAACTAAACAAAAATATCACGTACCAACTGACAATGCCGACGGCTTCAAAATTTATCTTGTCCCGGGTCTTATGAAAACAGTAAATCTAATCCGAACGTTGAATCCGGTTCCAACCTCTAATGCATTAAATGAAAAGACAGGATTTATAAATTTGTTAAATAGTATTTATAATGTGGTAAATAAAATGTGTTGTTTGGTTAATTAGATTTACAATAATTTTTTATATAAAAAATATTTGATTGTTTGATTTATGATAAATGAACTTGTTATTAAACTTTGCTTGTACACAAAGGTTACAATGTTATTTATGAAATTTACTACAATTCATTTAAACAGTTGGCAATTGATCAAAAAATTCTTAGGTTTTTTTGATATTACATAAAAATAAATGTCAATTAATTTAATAGGTTAAATTAATCAGATCATTCATTTTTAATCATAATCTTTGAAATAATTTTTTGAATAAAACCGGTATTTTCTTCACAAATCCCAAAGTAACTTTCGTAATTTATTTTAAAAATGCGAAACAAGAGTATATTGATAATCTATATAAATCTATTCTTTAGAATTACATTTCAAAAAAAAAACGTTTTCCGAAATCAAATTTTTCAATCTTTTGAGTGCATCTTCGGCAAGTTTTTTCAATAACCAGAGTGATGATGATGAGACTTATGGTGATCTCTTTTGATATCGTTAGGTTCCGCATCTCTCTTGTATTGATGAGGTTCGGCATCTCTCTTGTAAATGTGAGGTTCGGCATCTCTCTTGTATTGATTAGGTTCGGCATCTCTCTTGTAATAGTCAGGTTCGGCATCTCTGTTGATATCGTTAGGTTCAACATCTCTTTTGTACCAGCCGCTAGGTTCGGAATCTCTCTTGAAATTTTGAGGTTCGCCATCTCTCTTGTAACGCTGAGGTTCGGCATCTCTCTTGTAATGCTGAGGTTCGGCATCTCTCTTCTCATCCTGAGGTTCGGCATCTCTCTTGTACACGCGAGGTTCGGCATCTCTCTTGAACGAGCCCTGAGATTCGGCAACTCGTCTTATTACTCCTATATTTCATACTATTAATTGACTAATTTTAAAAAAAAAAAAATTTAAGGTCAAAAAAATTCAATTTTTCCTACCAGCACAAACCAAAGAAATAAGGAGAGGAAAGGTTAATAAAGCTGATGTTAATTTCATGTTTATATACTGTATATATATATCTTTCCCTTTCTAAAAAAAGCTTTCAAGTGAAGTGAATAACTAGCGAAGAGGAATTCCAAGTCTTATATATATTGTTTTTGTAGAGGCTTAAATTCTTGATTTTTGATTGTTGTAAGAAATTTATAAAGTGAGGCTTATTGTTAAGTAACTTATGGTCAAACGAATTGACAAAAAGTGATTCATTATTATTACTCTTTGAGTTAACGCATTGAAATTATTTCTTTCACAGCCATTTAAATTAAATTAAATCTTTTGATTTCTTCTATTGTCAAGAAATCAATTTTTACTATATTCAATTTTAAACAGGTAAGTTTATATATGGCGTAAATCAAAAGGGGGCTTCCAGAAAAACGTTCTATCTGATGAAATGATAATCATTTTCAAGTCATTCGAATTCACACAATTACCTTTGATGAGATTTTGATTTTTTTTAAGCCACTATTGACGCAAAATTTCTTATATTTAATAGCCACAATTTTAAAGCCTCAAATCAAAATATTAATTATGTTATTCTATTAAATTATATTTTTTTTTTATCACCACCTGAAAATAAAAAAAGAAATAAAAATTTATCTACTCAAAGAAATACTGTACAATAAAACAAAAATATTGTATTACTGCGGCAATGAAGTGAATAACCAATAAAGAGAAAGATGAAAAAGTGCTTCTTTATTTTATCTATCGATGCAACAATACAATGATACTAAAATGTCAGATATTGATATTTTTTATCTTAACAACCATTTCATTATCCCATCTTAAATCTCCAGAGAACAAAGTTTTATAAAGAAATTTTATTATAGTGAATACATAAATTTGGCGGCGGCGGCTTGGTTAACTTTAAAGATTTTATTAGAAAAAGAAAATGTTGACATACATAAAAATTTTTTTTTTAGACATAATCATCAACAATTATAAATGATATGAAATAATAAATTTATTATTAACTAGGGAGCAGTTTCGGAAACCGGAGCACAGGTATAACCAATAAGAATCGTCTCAAGCTGCATGCGCGGGAAATTTCTGTGCCATCGTGTGTATTATATGAAATTAAATATAAATTTATTTATATTCTTAAATTATATCATTTTTATAATATCCGAATTAATTATACATTGGCAATTACGGATAATATTTCTCAATTTAAATAAACTGAATTGTTATAACAGATTTAGAAAGAATCATTTTTTTTTTAGCTCGATAACTCTTTCAACAAAAAAGTAAGTGTATAAGTCATTCAAAGGAAAGTAAAATTTTAATAAAATTTAATGCATTATTAAATAATGACTACTCCTTAACTAATTTATTTTTCACATTTTTATTGCTCATACATAAAACATGTATTCTTACCGTTGCTGGGCGACCTAAAAAATTTGATGAAA